ATACAATGGCTAACAGAATCAAACATCACAAATTTATTAACGCTAGTCGCTCCAGTAAGGCTGGTGTCAGAGTCCGCGATCCGTCGCAGGTTTCGCTGATTTTCGCGATTTGCGCGATTCACGCGACGGGTCACGGAAATCACAAGTGCCCGATCAATACTGCAAGGTGTTTCTATAGTTTGTGATCTATAGTGCCCGATCAATACTGCAAGGTGTTCTCCAATCCTGCCGCCACTTCTGCTTGATAGTGATGGCTGAATGACGACTGCTCATGATTCCACTTGTTTCATATTCAGTGTTTCAAATGTTCACACACTTGCAATTTTTGCGATCCGTCGCAAATCGCGCAAATCGCGAAAATCAGCGAAACCTGCGACGGATCGCGGACTCTGACACCAGCCTAAGCCGTCCACTCTGAACAAACGTAAAATATAGCAACAAAGCAGGAGCACTCACTCCATCAAATCTGAAAAGATGAGTCGTCTTCACTGTCCTTATGCGGCCGCTTCCTGGGAGGTGAGAATACGGGCATCTAGAAAAATTGTAGTTTTTCTTCACTTTAAGACGACTAATCGCATCAATTGGAAACCTGCTCAGACATGGGCGTTCAATATGGTTCTCAAAGAAGAATAGGCAGAAAAAATCCACCAGGTATTGATTACCTTATGTGTGATGAGTTTTACAACGTTTGAGTTATGCAGAATCATGGAAAGAACAACATAAATAATTGAATGAAAAATTCGCCAACCAATTTAGATAAACGGAGCTCATATATGTAAAGCAGCTTGCAAAACCTTATATTGTAATTCTAAATCATTTAACTGCTGAAGTTACATTCTGCACTCGAAGAATAAACAAAGGGAAAAGAGGAAACAGCCGCAGATGAGCCGCAGCCGCAGCATCTCAACAAGTATAGTCGTAAAATATGTTGTCAGAGCATGAAATGCACAGTCTACAGCTGCTTTACAACCTATTTGTCGCCTAAGCACTGTGACAATCCCTGTACTACCTCAAACTTTATGGCCACACCAAATGGAGTAGTGTAGAAGTCTTTCGAGGTGTAGGGTTCCTAGCGAAATGTGCTTCGGGGGAGGGGGGAGCACCTGTGGGAAGGCCACTAGGTCTAGCCTAACTGAGAGGGACGAATTCCGGAGAGGAAGAGAATTGCTTATGCACCTCGGATTGCCTTTACTCTAAGGCTTAGTCCTAAAACTGGGCATTTTCGTAAATCTAGCGCAATGTTATAGTGTCGTAACACTTAAGGGACATCGCAGCGCAGAACACCTAAAGTACTTAAAACCATGGCAAACATTTTATTCCAAAGCTCTCCTCGTTTCCTTCGTCCTCGGTATAATTTTGTGTGTCTTTGTCCAACC